ACAGTATCCATTGCTTTCCATAAAAAGGTGCAGAGATCTGGTGGATATGAATCATCATATTTCCCTCATATATCCCTGCTGTAGATCTGGCAGGAGATGTCTCAGTGAGGTGAGATTGGTTCCATCTTAACTACTTCTGGAGCAGTGGTGAACCCAGGCAGAGCTCTGGGGACATCAGCCTCTCTGAAGAAGGCATCTGTGCAGCATCCTGTGGGACCATCCCTTGCCACTTAAATGAATGAATCTTGAATGAGTGTTTGCGTTCCCAGAGAAGGGAGTTTTGAAACTGGGTGAGCATCTAAGACATACCTCTTTACACTGGGCACAGAGCTCCTCTAGGACTCCCTTGTGAGAATGTGGCCTGAATATGCAAGAATCAGAATGCAATATAACAGAAGTGTGTACCGAATTATCAACAGATTTGCACATAATGAGGAAAACATAAAGAATAAGCCAAGAARATGCAACTTTTGTTTTTGTTTTCAGCTTGTCTTATGCTCGGGATAACTGGCATGTCCCTGATGTGCCCTATTTCTTTCGATGTGTCATTCTTAAAAATTGACGTGTGTGAAGAGAAGAGCTAGTATGTTCTCCACTATATTTTCCTTCCCTTTAATTTAAAGCAAACATTTATCATCCCATTTTTGTTTTTTTTTAAGTACCCTATGTTCTAAATTTGTGTCACATTGTGTTCTAAATTTTCAGTGAATTACATCAGATGCTCAATTATGAGATTCCGGGTTAAAGGGACTTGCACATCGTATGTCAACCCTGCTTGTGGCTTTGGGGTGATCCGTGTGCACAAACACAGTTGCAAACTCAGATTTTAATACCTAGTTCCTAGGTTTGGGTTGACAGGGTTTATCTTACGTGGGCTGTATTAAATAAAGTCCTAAGAGAAATACATTTATATGTTCTCTTGAAAAGAGAATAAAACTGCATACGTTTAATGATATTTTCAAAAGATTATAAGAACAATTTAAAGCAACTACTATAACCTATTCAAAAACATCGGAGGTTGGTTATTACAACTTGGTTGTTTGTTTACTAGTGCTCTATCAGCCTTAAACACCGAGATATTTTTGCCTATTTCTCCACCATCACTCAAGGTAGAGATTTTATAAAGAATGGAGACTAAAGATCAGAACAGAGGTATGATTAAAATAGAAACCTCAGCTTCTCCCCAGACTGACAGTTGTGATAAAGAGGGGTAAGTACAGTTAATTCAGAAGTGGTCTCTTGAGATGACCTTAATTTTATAATGTGCTGGCACTCAAGGTAATTAAAAAAGACCAAGGCATCAGTGAACATGATTAAATCTGGCATATCACAGATGTTTTCAGTGTAACTACCTTTTTCACATGACTTTAAATTGTACTATAAAACAACTTACAGGATTATAAAACTTTACTTTGGCACTATATGAGCCAATGTTGTAGAATTCTAGTTAGTTACCAGGAACATTTGTCTCTTTCTTTACTACACAGAAGCACTCTAAGTAACTAGAACTATTCCTTGTGTGCAGGTCACAACACTCACCTGTTCTGCAAATAGCTACGAGCAGAAACCCACCAGGGATGAGGGCTTGGCCTTATGGGCAGGTAGGTCCTACCCCAACTGTGAAAAAGAATTCACTGGCTGCTCCACCAAGTTCAGTATTACAACTTAGACCAGTGACCACGCAACTGCAGAGGTACGAATGGAGCTCTCGTTGGTCATCTGCAAGGTTGCTGTAGCTGAGACAATCAACTAATGAAGATTTCATGGTAGCTTTTGCTCTGGTGGAGGACGCTGTAATCAGCAATTTTACAGTCTGACACTGTCGTGTATCCAGCTCCATAGTTCATGGGGAGAAATTTTTGCATCTTTGGTCTTTGCGCTAMCAGAAAAGGAACTGTGGAAACCATGTAAATGGCTCTGTCTCCTACAAACAGCAGACACAAATTATTTGGATTTTTAATGGGTTAAACGATCCCCTCTGAAGAGCAGAGGCTATAGGAAGGACATGAGCCACATGTGTGACTGGCCTCTGTTTCATTCCTGAAGTCTATCTTAAATTCTTATTAAATCCTAACYATCTCCTGGGCGAGATGTATATTCACACTTTGTGTGAGTGTATATCACACTAACAGGCTCCAATACTGACCAGCCAGAGCGGGRCATCAGGACTGGGCTATCCCATGCAGGGATGTTAATGTTTATATAGATGCCACCAAAGGCTTTGTCCTCCGTGCTGATCCCTGTGGAGAGCACATGTGTAGTGTTTGCAGTCCACGCACATATTGGGAACATGTGTTCACCCTCTTTATTGCCTGAACACGGGGACAGGGGACCATTGCAGCCTTGCAGATCAAGGTCTTTGCCACAGCAAACCAGCTGTAGCAGGTTAGGAAGGAGAACTCCTATGAAGGAGTCCCAGAAGGCATTTACAGTCTCCACAACTACACTAATTCCCAGATTAGTGATGATGGTATCTCAAAAGAGGGTGCATGTGGGCATGCCTCAGATGCTTTCTGGCTAGAGAGGCAAGGGGCTGATAAATGCGCTATCCTAAAATGTGTGTCTGCTCAGGCCACAAAAGCCAATGCTCCTGTTTTTGTCTGAATTTATACATGTTAGCATTGCACACTGCAGTTCTCAATAAAGGGGATATTACTTCAGAGATAAATTGGCAGCTTGGAACAGAGTGGAAATTTATATCAAGCAAATTAACACTAGGGATTATAAAAATTATACTGCTGTAAAACGTCTCACTAGTCAGGGAGAGGAGATGCTTTAAAAATACTGCTTCACAACTGTAGACTTATTTTTGTGTTATGTAAGTCATTCAAGTCTGATTGACTGGGCTTTTGATTTGCATAATGAATGCAAATAAAATCACTTTCTTCAATTAGTCAAATGGTACTTTTATGCAATTAGCATGTAAGCATTAGTATCACAAATATGATTAAATAATGTTTTAGCAAAATCTTTTTAGCCTGATTGTCTTCTGTATATCTCTTTCTAGATTTCCATCATAATTCTTATCCATATGCCCACAAAATCTTTAAACCTTTCTCCCTGTCTTATTATCCAATTTAGTCCTMACAAACTTGTATTTCAATAGGAAAAGAAAATCATATTATGAATGGGCAATGAAAAGGATAAAGTAAAACTACATAAAGAGCTGAGAGGGAGGAGTCATAAAAAAGTGAAATTAATGTCTGTTGCAGAATATATGCATTCACTGACAAATGCACCCATATACTGATAATATACATCTAACTTTAATTTAAGTATTGATGTCACCAAGAACACAGTTAGGACTTTACTACTCCAAGAATCTTCCTCAATCTGCCRCCTTCCAGGAGGTGCAGGGGAAGCAGGTACTTAAAAGTGCAACTTTGATGTTTGGCAGACCCTTGTTGAAATTGAAATCCTGTTTTTAAGCCGTAAAACCTTAATGAATTTTATGAAGGCAAACTAGGTATAAAGGAACTCCAGGAAGGGAATTCAAAACTAAACAAAATTATTTTAAATGTAGTGGAGGAGGGGGCTGGCAGGGGTGGRAGGGCTCAGTTTTGAGGTATAGACTTCATTATTACAGCTCTTCCCTACTAACTGGAAGTAAAAGCAAACACCTCTCTTCCTCTTTCTTGTTGAGCCCTGAATGCAGTCTATTAAATTGAAAAGGACTCTATATGTTTCCTTTAAATTATGGAATGAAAAGAGAGTTACTGGCCACAGTAATACCAGGGTATTGCTCTGTCTCCATTACTTAGCTATAAAAAGAGATGTTCCAACACACTTGTCATTTTATTTCCAATAAAGCAGACTCTCTGGAAATTCAGCATTTGGGCTAGAATGCGTAATTCAGAAGGCCATTTGGGCCAGCATTGCTTGTAATACTGCTCTCAATCCGAATAGAGAGAATGTGGCCTCATTTCATACGATATGAATTGAAAAATTATGARCATTAACAGTTTTACAGTAATCCGTAAGCTGGTTCTCATTACCTCAATTACCTCAATTTGGAAGGAAGTGTATTTTCAAACAAAAAACAGAAATATATATGACTTAAAGTTGCACTTGAAGAGTTTCTATTGAAGTGTCGTTCAATAGGTAAGTTCTGGGGTTCTACAGCACAGAATGAAGTGGAATATTTATAAAGCATTATAAAATTGCAATTAATTGGTAAGCTYTTCCCAGCTTCTTCCCAGCAGCATTTTGCTTACATTGACATTTAGGATTACTTAACCCCTCATCCAGTATGAGCTTTATCATTTCATTTTCTCTGTCTCTGTCCTGACTTTGCACCTGCACTGCAGACACATGCATTTGCTTCTCAGTCCTCTAGGAAGCCCTCTGAAAAATTTGTTCTATTTTCTGGTTTGTCACTGATTGTGAAGACAACAAAAATAACATAGGAACAAGACTTTCTGAAACTGCTCTGGGCCAGTTTCACATGCAGTCTGTTAGTTCAGCACACATTGCTCAGCTTTCCCAAGATATCACTTTTTTCCTACAGTGAGGCTAACCTGGTTTGTAAAGCAGGTAGTTAGTAGGTCTGGATTTCAAACAGACATTAAATCAGTCATAAGCATCGTGGTTGATATGGTCATGTAGGCATTTTCTTGATATTAAAGTAGCTGATATCAAAACTTTTGGCAAAATCTCTGTATCCCCGTGAAACCAGGAGGGATTTTAATGGAATACACTTGAGCCCTGCTAAGGGATAGCAACACTCTAGATCAAGCTTGTTTATATGGTGAAATGATTAAACAGGAACAGCACCAAGTACTGATGCATACAAGAGAACTTTATAGGCCATTTCAGTAAATCAGAATACTTTCCTTCCAATGAATTCACTTTTCAAGAAMGGATGAAAAATTTACACCAAAATTAATTTGATGTCATTTGAGACCACATAGCTGTTTTAAGATAAAGTTTAAATAAGAACTAAATAAATGACTTCTATCTCATCAAAACTTATCAGATTTGTTTTATGTAGAATTTCTTACCTAAGCTGTTTAAAAGCCTCTGCCTTCACAAGCGGTGTTTCTACAGAGTGTTCAAAAAGTGCTCCTTCGGGCCCTGAAAAACAAGAAAAASAGTATATTGTAAAGGTTAAAATGTTGAAAAAAGCTACAGTGATTTGCATGGCCACTCTGATGTCAGAAATTAAAACAGGAAAACCTAGACTGATAGTTAAAGAGCAGTGTCCCTGTAACACAACATGACAGCAGGAGAGTAGTTGAAATCCTAGCAAAGCCCAGCAGCAACCCCAGCCCACAGAACATACCTGATACAGACAAATCACCGAGAGATCTCAAAAAAGCATCTAAAATCCAGCAACTACCTTAGGGCTGGAGTCTATATTGTGGATATAGCGCACAACCAAAATCTGGGAGGCCAAGTTTAGCGCTTGCTTTTCTCAGTCTTGTAGGATTCACATACGTAATTGCTTTTCAGGTAGGAATGCAGAAAGGCAAGACAATGCAATTTAATATGATATTATAAATGATTGCTTTTTGGTGGCTGCTCTTTAAATTAAAACAGACAATTACCCTCAGGAAGGAATTCTGCATTAGTATATTAGAGATATACAGATATATCTTTCTGTAGTCATCTCCGTTTAAATTAGGCATCTACACTCTAGAAAAATTAGAATTACTCACCACACGCTGGAGCTTAGTGTTTTATTTTGGCTTAAGTTAGCTTCATTTTTTGCTCTGTGTTTTGGTTGATAGACAGAGGTAGTTAGCTCTCAAAATGTACTATACTTAGAACCTAAAYGACTAAATTAGGGTTTTGGATTCCACCTGGAGAGTCAAACTATTAAGTCCATTTTCAACATTTTACCAGATACAGCCCTAAACTGTCATGCATCCATTCTGGAAATTCTGTAGCAAGTAAGAAAGTACGAGTGTGCCAACAGCTGCATGTATAATTCCATGCACACATATGTTTGCTGTAATATTAGTGCATGTGCATAATTTGTAGCAATTAACATTTTAAATATAAATATACATGCAAGCAAGAGAAAAAAAATCTTTTATGGGAGATCTGATGATATTGGGATGAAAGTATTTGAGGAATCAGATGTCCAGAAAAAAAGATACAGAGAAATGCATGATTAATGAATGATGTGGAATAAAAGGAAAAAGACAAGGAAAATCTGGGGAAAGCACAGAGATTATCAAAGGTAAAAGAAAAAAAGGAAAAAAAGAAATCAAGAAATGATATTAAAAAGGAACACATTAGTGACTTTCCTGGAAAATGTACTGCTGAGCTAACAGCTATGAAGACTACAACTTCAGGTAGCCTGGAAGGATATTCTCAATATGCTCTAAAGAAAGCACTAAAGGTGGCACTTTTAGAGAAAGACTACAACTAAAAATTCCTTAGAATGAAATCTACTTTGCTTGGGTGGAAGGGTAGCAAACAATATATAAGAATCACCATATGAAACTGCTTTGCTACTTCACCAAAGCTACTTTTCTAAGCTACCCTTTAAGCATCCTTTTAAATTTCATATAGCTGTTGTTTTCCTCATCATCTATTTAAAYAGATGAATCTTTCTGGATTCTGCTAACTGGCATGAATGCAGCACTATTCATTAAATCAGACACGATTTTAACTCTTTTCTKTAGCATTATTTTGCAAGATAAAATTTGTTCTTGCTATTGTCCCAACTAGTGTTACTTGGTGGCAATCTTACACACCAGACACAATAAAAAAACTCAAGGAATTAAATAAGTTTGTCAGAAACTCCTGGTAGAGCTGAGATATTTTACAGCAACATGCTGACCTGTCAAAACTTCTGACTTTTATTTTTCTTTTCAACTAGAAATGGCAGAGTTCAGTTATTTTTGTGACGAGCAGAGACTGCTTCATATGTGATTCTTCTGATAGTGTGGTACTTGGGGAATACATTGTGATCCCTCATTATGCTTCATTACCACTATGACAGACTTGACAGCTCTTAGCAAATATTTCACTATCTTCCTCACCTAGATCTTCAGCCTATTCCTTCATAGGGAATGAATTATTTCGGTGAAATAAATGCTGCTATATTTTCAGTTGTACAAATAAAAGACTTATCAGTACATTTAAGTAATCTTGAGATGCATGATTTATCAGGGAAGATAGTCTGAGATTAACATCTGCCTGTAGTCCTAGGTATGTTTAAGTATGGTACCTTTAAGTATGTTTATATCAGGAAGTTAAAACAAATATGAATTAATAGAGTGATATAATAAGTTCTAAAGCTTTGCCGTTCATATTATGCTCTAGGTGTCCCTGCTTGAACAGGAGGGTTGAACTAGATGATCTCTAGAGGTCCCTTTCAAATTCAACCACTTGGTGATTCCGTGATTATACAGATTTGGGGCAGTTGCTTTGCACCACTGTAGATGGTCTGTGGACTTACACGCATTTGCAGTTTCAATGCACTAAATGCACTCTTGGAGCACATTTTTTCAGTTTGGTTTCACCTAAAAGGGATCTACTTTTGTCACTTCCTGACTCCTCCAGGACATAAACCAGTGGACAGTAAGAATCGTCAAAGCTGTCAGATCTGCAGCAAAAGTACAGGCTTGATTTGAGTGCTTCGGCAGATGCATATCAGTGCAGACATTATCATGTATATGCATGTCAAATATTTTCTACAGAGTGCTCTTCTATTTGAGTGTGGTCTGCAGTCCATTTCTTTTTTCTTTATACAATTTAGATTATCAGTGTACTTCAAAATCTCCTGATTTCCTTGAGCCTTGCTTTATTTGCCTACTTGGAGATATCAGGATGGTTAAAGTCCTCCATGAAGTCCAGAGCCTGTGAACATGAGGCTTTTTCCACTTCCTTGAATCTTGTATCTTCTATTCATCTTCTCCTCATCCTCATCTACTTCTTCCTCCCCACGTGCTCTGTAGACCCAACACAATCTAGCCCACAAGCTTTCAAATGACTCCTCATCTGCCCTGAGGCAAACCACCATGCAGTTCTGCTGCTCTCTCATATAAAGGCCAATGTACCTTCTCACCTTCCCAGCCTGTCCTCCTAAAAAGCTTCTATTCCAGCGAATTATACTGAGTGGCATGTTTATAAAATACCTTATGGAGTTGCACGTTATAGTGCATCATTACTTTAAGTAGGATTCTCAAATTAAAAGTACTGAGATAACCAGTACATATTGGAGCAGCAGAAATAACATTWTGGATTATTATCATATAACACTATCATGAAAAAAAATGTCTGGCAATCATGTTTTTCTGGATATAGAATCAAATATTTTGAATAATCAGATTAATAAAAGGTAAATGAAACCTCCTAGTTTAACTACAGAGAAGCATCTGTTATCTGCTTACAAAATAATAAATAACACTTTCAGAARGAAAAGTCATCAGTCTTCCAACTTAGTTGGCAAGTTTTATTTCCAACTTACCAATATGGATGAACTCTGAAAATTTCTGCTCTTTTACTCTGCCTGATTTACATCTAATTTCTCTGGCATCTTCAAAAATCTATACCACATCGACACCCCACCACCAAAATTTTTTAATCAAAAATGATTAAAAGTAGAATTAAATGTTGCAAGTATGGATATTCATATCAATAGCTTAAGGGGAAAATATATGRGAAATTCAGTTGCACTCTCTCTCATATATTGTCCATCACATACCTTAGCTGAAAGTAATGTAGAAGAGTGTAAAAGACAAGCACAAAATGCTAAGTTTCTCTAAACAGATGAATTAAACGTCCCCTTCCATACTTCTTCCATCTAGTTTGTATGCAATATACCATGAGGTACTCCATTATTAAATACATTTTTATCTTTGAATTGTAAATGAGATGGCAAGGCTGGTTGATAAAGGTAATAATATGGGTGTAATAAGCTTCCATAGACATTTAGTTTGATGCCACATGACATTTTGATTACGAGATTAGAGCAATGCGGATCATCTTGGAATGCATTAAATGGATTAAAATTAGCTGACAGATCTTAAAACCTAATTGTAAACGGAGAACCATGAGTGAGGGGATGTGCTATTTATGGGCCTTATGTGACGTAACACTATCAAGGACTTGGAAGAAATAATTAGTGATGAAGTTTCAAGACCCAGGCACTGGGAAAGAGATGATAGGAATGAAAAGGACAAGTCAATAATAACGGAATATATGAATTATTTTGCAAATGTGACTTTATTAGGTCAGGTAGGCTTAAAATTATCTCTCTATACATGTGCTCCCTACTCAATTATTTAAAACCCAACTGAATTATCTAGTAATATTTTCTGATGATGAATGGTTTTTGCACATCTAAACTTTATTATCTAGAAATCTTTTCCTTTATAATTAAGATTCAGATCACCCTCCTGAGCCGTGACATCACTTCTAAAGCCATCCTCAAAACTACATCTGTCATCTGCTCAAGGGTGGAGGACATCTAGCGCATCTGGGATCCTGCATGCCTAAAGTGCCCTCTTTGTGCCTCATTACAGGATGTGCAGACRCAAGTAAGGAAGCGTCCACAGCAGAGCAGGGGACACTTCTGTCTCACAGACTTTCTTAAACTCATTCTGCGACCAGTTTGTGTCTTTTGTATTCCTCCTACAGTGCTTCTCACACCTAAGTTCGCATTTTGCTATGTAGAACAGTGTTTATTTGTGTTTAAGATATAGCTTGATAAGATTAAAAAAGGAATTCCTTAACCTACTTCTCAATTTATGAAAAATATCAATCATTGTCAATTTTGAACAGTGTGATACTAAAAAGAAAAAAAAGGAATAWAAAGACAATAGGKCAATGTTTGCTTGAAAATGGCACTAAATTGATTTATTGTCTTCATTAAATATCATTTCTTATAAAGAATAGCATGAAATGATATTATTTTTACCATATGTACCATATTTACTACTTCTGTAGCATTTTATTTATAAACAAAAGTAATCTGTGATTCTGCAATTAACTCTAAAATACAGAAAAGCACGATAATATTTTTTTAATGAGAGAATTGAAGTCAGTAAGTTTGATTAATCCTCTCTCCCAGCTATCAAAATCTACCTGCCTCTTAGAAGTCTAGCAAAATTAAATACCCTAAAATTGTCAAAATTGTCTCATACTTAGTTTCTGAGCACAGCATTTAAATTAGACACACATGTTTACATAGCAGTTCAGTGTTAGCTATTCAAACTGAAGACCTTTACATAGTAGAGAGCATGAGAAAATCATGGGCAATACTTKGCAAACACTTCAAGATACTGAAAGGCAAGCAAGCAAAAGGGGAAGCAGTAAATGGGAGGAAGGAACTCTGTTTCTCTATAACAGTATTTATCATTTCAGCATTGCCAGCATTTCTTCAAGATTAGAGTAAGCAAATGTATTCTATTCATTTCTTGTGGTCCATTATATTTGTCATCCAAATATTACCATTTACTGCAGCCAAGGTATATACATAATTTCTACTTGCTAAAAAATATTCTTTGTGAAGCAGYTATAATTATTTTATAACTACTTAACTACTTAATACTAATTATTTTTCTCTTGCATACAGCAATTTACTTGAGCCTTTTTTGTTTCCTTTCTGTGGACAGCCCTCTAGTTTCCAAGTGCAGGCAAGGAAGTGGAAAAGCAGGATTCCTATAGCTATGAACTCCAGCAGGRTGCAAGGACTTTCATCTGGCGCTGGGACTTCACTCCTCCTTGCCACAATAATGTTGTTCATCATAAAGCAACCAGGTCTGACAAATGCTTGTCACAAGGAAGGTTTCACTGTCAATAATGCCAGCTGAATGTATAAAATGCGACCAGATCAAACATGAAATTCAGTGCTTCCTTAGCAGCAGAATAAATATCTGCAAAAGACACAGGTCAGCAGTGCAATTAGATTACCGAGGATGTAATTGGAATACATGCTCCTCCAGGTATCATTAATTAAGGATGGAATTCAGCTTCAGATTCATACACCTACATTTAAGTGTCTACAACGCAGGTGTCAACATGTGAGCTGGAGGCAGGTCCATAAGCACATGTATCCAGTGGTGTCATCTAAAATACCCTCACATTTCAGTGAGGCCTCCTGCTGCCTCCAGCTGCCACTGACCCAAGAAAGGAGCCTCTTTTAGGTAAACTGTGATGATACATCCCAAGGTCAGGGTGGGAGCCTAGACACCTCACACATATACTTACTTAGATGTCTACCCTATAAACTCTTTAATTTCTTACATTTCTTACATTTCTTACATTGTAAGGGCTGATTATGGGTTTGTTCAATGTTCTCTGAGGAGAATGGAGAGTCTATCACAATGCTGTCACAATAAATACCTACCACATGTGCCAAACATTTTCTGAATAGTAGGAGGCCAAATGCACCAAACTTGTTGGGAAATATCAGTTCCTAATATTTTGGTTTAACTTGGTGTTAAACTTACATTTTTTTTTCTGAAATACTATAAAGCACAATATCATTTGCTGTCCATTATACAATATTTTAGTTGCAAAATTATCCGTTTTTCTTAAAAATCATTGCTGAGCCTTTCCTTGTTYGCAATGAGAAGTAAAATCAAATAGCTCGTTACATTGTACATAAAATACTGAGAAGTATTGAACTATCTTGAGTCCATCTCTTAGTGTACACCCTTTCCAAAACTTGCTTCACATTGATCTTACTATGTAAAATATTTAAAAAATAGTTAACTCAGTACCCAAAGCATTACTAATTTATCCTTCATGAAAATAGTATAATTTAAGTCACAATTTTAATAAACTCATTTGAAGCCCAGGAGGAATGATTGTCCTCTCACTTGCAATAATTTAACACTGGGATAATTTCACTGGCTTTATTGGATTTGCTTTTGACTTGCACTAAAATATATAWAAAAGAAGCAATGTGCCTTTCCACAAGAACTACTAAAGTAAATAACTAACTTTGCAATGTAAAGAAGACAAACATTGGAGAAGTCAGAATACATATTTTGGCATAACAATTTCAACTCATATATGAATGATTTTTACTTACTTTGAGGAGAGAAATCTTTTCCAAATCATTAAAAAAAATCACACAGTTTTTTGTATCTTTGCTAAACATGCTTTTCTATTAAAGTTTAACATCCCTTAGGCAAACAATAATCATTTGATATACTCTCCTGGTTAAACAAAGTTGTAATTTCAATTAGGTTAAAAAGYGGAAAAAAAAATAGATAAGACCCTCAGGGGTAAACATAATTTATTAACACATTTTTTTTAACTTGAATTTGGCTTTGAAGTGCTAATTGTATGCTTACTGCCATATTTATATTTGTTCACAGTGAAATAATATGAATTGATCCACGAAAATCAGGACTTCAAGTTTCAGAGCACCAGTAATTAGCAAAAGTTAAATATGACAGTCATAATTAGGTTAAAAATTTTGAAAAAGAAACTGAAAAGAAATTACAGGATAAATTCAGTATTTCCTTTGATCAATTGTTCCAGTTTAAGTGAAGCCACACCTGGACATGTCCATTTTAATGCAATCTTACATCTGGAAATGTTAGACTTTATCAGGTCATATGAAACTACATGGCTTTTCACATGGTAACTTTGACAGAGGCATCTTCACTCTGTAAATGGGTAGTTTGGTGATTTGAAGAAATAGTTTAACACAAACTTGCCTTTTGACAGATGACATTTTAAATACCCTATAAATAACATTTTGTGACATGTTACAGGCAAAGATGAAATAGAGTGGCTTTCACTTCGAAGCTAAAACCATTATGTCTTATATCAAAGAGACTTGATTCATAAAACCCAATAGAGATGAATTCTCAGACAAGACTATGTAAAATTTAGTCACAATTAACAGTGTATACTGGAAATGCTAAAAAAAAAAAAGGAAAAAATGCACAACTCTCATCATTAAGTCTATGTATTTTCTAATAAAATATATACACACRTGCATGGAAAGATATACATAGATTTTATATACAGAGATTCTTCTTGTTGAATATTTAGTGAAAAAAGGTTAAAAGATTTTCCAGATTTTCTAAYGGAGTAAAACCAGAACTCGTGTTCCCATACAGTGGCTTATTTAAAATATCATTTTAGCTTTATTTTGTTGTGGTTATTAGTGAAGTATTTCTTAAAATTGTGGTACAAACCCGTGACTCGAAGTTTATCTGTGCCAATTACAACCTCATTTTCATCCACAGTAAAAAGTGGCTTGCCATCCTTGGAGTTGATCTGAAATTGCTGACCATGAAATTCTACCATTTTAGGACCTGCAGAGCACAGAAGAATAAAGGAATAATTACGTAAGTTCTTTCAACTCTCTTTACAAATTGCCAAGCATTCAAATTGCAGTCTTAATAACTTAGTGACTCATTTATGCACATTAAGATCACAAAACACTCAGATATTCCAAGAATAGAGGCCTTGTAAGTACTGAATTTAGACAAATCTATTCACAAGATCTATTTTGTTGTTTAAAACCGTGCCCAGAGTCACGCTTTCGAGTTGGGTTYCCAGGGAATGTAGGAAATCCTTTACAAATTGATGAAGACCAACATGCATGTTCTTGGTGTCAAAACTGCTAGAATTCTTTGATCTGTATAACAACTTTTAATTTCGAAAACATGGAGATAAATTAACAAGGTCTTTTTAGCATCATCCCTTATGATTAGGGAGACTGAGCTGCTTTGAAATGACAGCCTTTCCATTGAGGGGCAGGACCCGCAGCTCTTCATAACAAATGCAAGTTTAGCTCTACATCTCTGGCAAATATTGCTGATCATGTTGTTCCTTGAAGGTACTGAAAAAGCTGAGATTTTCAGCTTGTATCTGATACTTCAAAGCAGAAGTCGTATCTAGCAATTTGTAGCTGACAATCTACGCTTGCTTGTTATCATTATGCTAGAGGTTGGATTTATTAAGCTTGAAAAGGGCCTGCTTTCCTTTTTCTGCAAGATGCAACTACTATTTCTAACATGCTACTAGATCCTATATTCACTATCCCATTTCCAAACAAACCTGAGAAATTAAAAGCTCAAATCACATAAATTTGAATATCTGCTTGATAGAATTGTTATCTAATTCTATGTYCAGAATTAAAATTACAAGGGAATAGCCAAAGGACTTGATATGCCTTTTCAGCAGTTCTTTAATAAAGGTAATTCATGGCTCATCCATGGAACAGCCCTGAGTTACTTTTTAGCTCAGTAAAAATATGTTTTAACATGCCGACTCTCATTAATGTTAAATAGCTTTCAGGTATATCTTCTTGATTAATGTTAAATATCTTCCAGCCATTCCCAAATAAGATAGGAATAACTGGGGAGGATCTCAGGTGAAAATGCCACTAAGTGACTGATGAGTGACACTGCAAATAAATAAGTTCAGACATTTACTGAAATCTCCATGGTAGCAGATGCAAGACATGCACACCATATTCTATACAATTTGCATAGTGCTCCACTTCACTCAGTAGATGCAAACCATTGATTTTAATCATCCACCAAGTGTGAAGTGTTATTTGGACTATTATGTTGTGCTCAGTATGAATAACAAYGCTAAGGTACAATGAAAGATACTGATTCTTCTTGGCAATGGTTAGGATAAGGGGACAAACTCTGCAGTGGATTGCCTCTCCATCCRTGCTCACACACTGTCTTACTGATCTGAACTGGGCTCGTTAAAGCTCCTCCAAAGTACCTGGCTTCATTTCCAGAAGAGTATTTCAAAAAGTGACCCCAAAAAATAACTTCATTAAGTGAAAATTTGTTAATCAGAGTCCTTTTAAAAAGCAAGGAAAGCAAGTCAATGCAAGTGAAACAGTTATGGTTCCCTTTCATTGCCTTTCTTGGAAATCTTACAGGTGTTTTATTATTCCTGTTCCTGCTGTAATGAAACTGCCAATTTAAGTAAAGTAAATCCTTGTTTATTCAAACAATCTGAAGTCCTAAATAAGCTATCTATTATCAACTTTAACTTATGTTGCAAGTGCTATTTCCTCTCTTTATTCTGGCTGCAGAACTACTGGATGCGGGGTTATTTAGTCCGCAGAAGAGGAGGCTCAGGGGAGACCTTGTTGCTCTCTACAACCACCTGAAAGGCAGGGTCAGTCTCTTCTTCAGAATAAGCACCAAAAACAGAACAAAAGGACATGGCCGCAAGTTGCACCAGGGGAAGTTTAGGTAAGATGTTAACAAAATTTTCTACAAGTAAAGAGTAATCAAGCACGGAAACAGGCTGCCCAAGGAAGTGGTGGAGTCACCATCCCTAGCAGTGTTCAAGAAATGTGTAGATGAGGCACTTAGGGACATGGTTTAGCCAGTGTGGTAGTGGTGGATTTACGGTTTGACACGATGACCTTCAAGGTCTTTTCCAACTATAAAAATTCTATGATTCTCTTTAGATAGAAGAAGAACAAGAGGATTAACCCCCTAACGCAGAGGAGCACGTCCTAGGTAAGTGAGGTGTTTGCAGAAAATCACCTCCAGCTCTTCCCCTCTAAGTAGCTGTATATTTTACAGGGATAGATTATGTGGGTACCCTCTGGTTGTGGCTACTGATTCAGGCCTTACAGATGAGAGAGGAGAACTAAGTTSTGATGATGCTAGTGAGTATAACTGCTGTACCAAACCAGAGAAAGCCAAGGCAGGAGAGACTTGAACACTTCTCATTCTGTTTGTTTGGCTGCAGCTTTCTTCCCCAAACTGGGATCTGTGAGAAAAGCCAGGATRGGGGATGCCCTCTGAAGAAAGGACAGATGATGCTGCCCAGCTCTGGAGCAGAGGAGAGTTTAAATGTATAATGAGAGTTGTGCTGTACCACACGTCCTCAGGGCCAGACTGTGGGTCCTGGCCTGCTCTTGTTACTAGTGCAGACACAATCTATGTCTAGCTGTTAAGCACCTTCACACATTAAACATTCCTGGGCACGGGGCTGAGCGACTCCCTAAGGTTGCAYGGATTTTAATTACTTAAGAAGGCTTGATGCCTATCGCCCTAAACTTTCTTCTTCTGAAGAGGAATTACGAGAATCTAAATTTAGGATTTAAGCACCTGAAGCATCAGTTAGGTAGGATTAAAGATGACTTAAAGACAAGCATTGCAAATTAAGCCCATTACATTTTAAAACCAGATTTAAAAAAATAATAAATCTACTAGTCCTGTGAGCAGTCACTGCAGGTTATATACTTCCCAAAGGAGTCTTAACTGATGGCTGTTTGAAACTATTGCTTGTGTACCTGCCCAGGCTGGATTTGCTTCCAGATTTTTCTCCTAGGCTTCTAAACCTCCTACATTTGACTGCATCTTTCACAGTAATCCACAGTCTTGTTAAAATAAATGCCCTATATATAATCCTTATTATGGAAGAATGATCTTGCTAATAAAAGAGATATTTTAAAAGTTTAGAAGGAATATTGGGTAAATAAAATTGAAGTAGATGATACCTTATTCATGCTAGAGACAGGTTGGTTGACGTGTAACAAATTTTAAAAAGTAAAAAATAGACTTTTAAAGAATTTGGAAAACATTATTGTAATTAAAAAGAGCAATTAATGCCTCCTAGTCAGATTTTATAATATACACTCAATAGGTGAACTGCAATAGCACTAATTGTATTGTGTTCCTATAAGAATCAATTTTATCTCATGAACAGTAGGTAAATATATATGAAGCTTTAATCTCCTGCTTATCGTATTTTGTTTAGCAATCTGCTATATTACTGCACATATGTCTACTAATATGAAACATGAAATCATACTTTCTGATGAAATCATACCATTAAAAATATAATGCAACAGACCATTGAAAGCACTCGAACAGTTTTCCCACTGCTGCTGCTAAGTGTCTCAAGAATTTCCAGGTAGATCCGCTGTCCTTGCTACCAGGCTGAGTAATAATTGCCTYGTGCTACATTAAACATCTTCAAGCCATACATCTGGCATGGACCTCATATGTGAGCATCACATCACATATCTTTTGGCACCACAGATGCCACAGTTCAGGTGATGAAAAATGGTTCCAAAAGCAAATGCCCACTGCCCTTTCATAACCTTATGTCTTCTCAGGCAAGCAATCTCCTGTTCTTTTCCTCTTCTGTTGCCACAAATCTCTGCAAATGAGTGCATTGCTCAACAGCCCTACTTMTTGCTTCTCACCTCCCTCACCTCTCCCTTAGGTAGTCTTCTTGAGTACAGAAGACCTTTAATTTAGTGATTCAGTGATTCAGTGGGAAAACATTTAAATTAATTCTCTTCTACTTTTCTTATTCCTACCTTATCARTCTTTGAGTTCCAGTCCAATACAAATGTAGAATGACGGGACAGAAGAGTATTTTATCAAAAAGAGGACCTGGCATACAATATATATGCACAATGACTTAATATCAAATGAAATTGAAACAGTCTAGGCAGACAGAGGCTTCACACATMCTGTTCTATGAAATGTTAAACACATTTGATGTTTCTTTATGTCCTGCAGAAGAAAAAGCTTTCAAACACTAACATTATTTATTCCATTCTATTTTTTTCATTTTTCAGTCTTCTCTATTACTTACCGTTCCTGTTAACTTATGGTGTCACCTACTCTGCGTGCTTCAGTCTTTACTTACTATCTGTAATGACTGAAGTATTGAATATAAGCCAAATTCCTGACTACTTTGGGGAATATTGCTACATAATTTCATTTTTAGTTAATTTTTATTATATTAAAGCACCTTRCTTAAAAAAGGGCACATAAAAGTGTATTAAAAATGTAATATTCCTACAGATTCTGTTCTACTTCAATGAGTAATGCAATATCAATAAAGGTAAAGCCATTACTTTTAGAAGCATAAAATTAGTCAGATTTTCACATGCAATAGTAGAAGTACTTGTCGTTCTTTTATTAGAACAAATGCACTGAGTATATGCAGCATGCCACACATACACATTTTAATGCCATTCATCTCTTACTGCCTTTAAAAACATCTCTAATAAATTAGTAGAGTACCTACCACTTAAAATTCCTCTTTTTCTCTTAGTTCACCTTTCTATAGTGGATTAAACAATCATCTCAGACCAAAATAAGGATGTTTAAGTGCTTTACTTTTATTTACTTCTTATCCTTTGTTGTTCCCTGTAGTTGAATATGAGTCCAGAGGTCTTTTAAAATCTGTTTTTGAATGATCAGSAAGAACTGTCATGTACTTGCAGCCCTGTCTTAGGCTTTTAGGGGGCAGTTCTTTCCAGGCTCAATGTGATTTAGGTACCTAAATGTCTTTCAGCATCATATTT